TCTGCAACTGGATCTGCCAGGACCTCCCTAGCCTTTTCATCTTCCCCTGCCTAGGGCACATCTTTTATTATGCAGAGTGGCAACACCCCCCTCTGGGTGCTCCATTTGTGTCCAGAGCCAGTAAAAGATTTTCTAGCTTCCGGACAATCTTTAATAAATCTTTATATACCCACAACATACCCACAACATACAACACAGCTGTGGGCCACACTTCTGCATGGCCGGCCCCGTTTTAGTTACGTATTTTATAATCCATTGTAAAAACCACATCAGCACCACCATCAGCTCTCTAGCTTTTTCAAACTTCCATGGTCTGTCATTTTTAGCACCTTCATCCTGCCGACTACACCAATTTTGTCGCCCATGTTCTCTTGGGGTCTCTTGCACTATCAGACAAACCATATAGCATATTTTTATGTGAATTTATTATAGTTTATACCATGGGGGGGGCATGACTCACAAACAAACACCTGTGGCTCAGAGCCCACCATTCCAGATCGCTTTTGCGGCCCTCCCATAGTCACCGCTAGCTTTTGCCTCATGGACCCGTAGTCCTGCCCCAGGTCGTTTAATGCTGGGTCATTCTGTTCTCACGCCTGGCCATCACACTCCGGGCCACGGCACCTGTCCCAAGATGATGCCCAGAAGCCCCCTCCCTCTGTGGCTAACTGTCTGCAGTCAATTCTCCACAGCAGGCCCAGCACCTTGGAGGAACCAGGACCCCAGGACAGGTGCTGTCTGGGAGGATGAATTGTTAGTAAGCACTTGGACTTTTTGATTACTGTCTTAATCACATGATCCCTTTCTGAGAGAATTTTGAATGGAATCTTTACATTTAATGGATAATATGGAGTGGTTGTTGAGATGAGAACCTGGTAAAATGGAAAGAACAGGGTCCTGGAGTCCTGGGTTCAGCAGACCCAGGTTGGCAGTTCTCCATGACAGGAAGAACATTCCTGTGTACCTCTGTGTCATCTCCTTCTCTTTGCTTTTCTCTCTTCCTCTTTCCCTTCCATCCTGGAGTTGCACTGCTGAAGTTGCTCAACATCTGGGGGCCATTTCTGTCATCATCATTGTTAGGGAATGGTGTTGAAGTAAATCTACAGAATCCAGAACAAATAAGGTACATGAGAATTTCAGGAACTGTGTTCTTTTTCTTTCCTCTCCCTTCTCCAAAATAATTGAAATTATGTCTTCCCTGTAAATGTTAGTGTGAATATTGCCTTTAAATGGATATTATTTTATTTTTAAATTTAAAAAAAATTGTGTGTGTGTTTACATGCAGGGCACATGTGGAGGTCAGAGGATAACTCCAGGAGTTGATTTTCTCCTTCTTCCATGTGAATGTCAGGGATCAAACTTGGGTCATCGGTCCTGGCAGCAAGTGTCTTCTGCTGAGCTGCCTCACTGGCCCCTAACTATCACTATTTTAAAATATGAAATTGAATGAGATATTCCTAGACTATAAATCTAGCCTTTTAAAAGTAATTTGGTGTTTTTTAGTATAATTACCAAGTTCTGCATCTGTCACTAATGCCTAATTCCAGAACATTTTCGTTAATTCCTAAAATGATCCCTGTTACTTGTTAGCATTATCTCCGGCCTCTGAGATCACTAGTATCTTGTCACCATAGATTTGTCTGGTGTGGACATTTCCTATAACTTGTGGCCATTTTATATTCAGTCTTTTTCATTTAGCATGATGTTTTCAAGATTCATCCGCATTGTATTAGTATTTCATTTCTTTTTAATTGATCCATTCATCAACTGATGGGCATTTTGGGTTGTTTTACTGTTTGGGTACTCTGGAATTAGGCTGCTCTGAGCATTCATGTTCAAGGATTAAGTGGACATGTGTTTTTGTTTTTCTTAATTATATTCTTTGTTGTGAAATTCCTGTGTTTAACTCTTTCATTTTATCTTTTAATAATGTGTACGTGTGTGGGTATGGGCACATGAATGCAGATGCCCTTGGAGGCCAGAGATGTTGGATTCCTTGGAACCAAAGTTTCCAGTATTTATGAGCTGCCCAGTTGTGGGTGCTGGGAATGGAACTTTTGCATCTACAAGAGCATTACTTGCTTTTAACCATTCAGCCATCTCTTGAGCCCCATGTTTTTAACGTTTTGATGGTCTACTCAGCTGTTTACAAAGTGACTATACCATTTTCTCTTCCCACCAGTGATGTACCCCGTTCTAATTTTCCCATCCTCACCACCACTTGTTAGTTGTCGGACTTTGATTACAGCCATCCCACGGTGTGTGCTGATTTACATTAACTGTAGTAACACTGAGCCTTTTTTCATGTTCTCTGCTCACTGACCATTTGCATATCTTTTGGAGAATGGACTGTTCAAACACTCTTCTCATTTTTAAGTAATTTTTTCTTTTGTTGCTGAGTTGTAATAGTCCTTTATATATTCTGGACACATTTCCCTTATCAAATGTGATTTGCAGGTGTCTTCTCCATTGTGTAGCTTGTCGTTCCTGGTGGCCTTTGAGGCACAACAGTTATGTGTTTTAATGATGTTTAATTGACCATATTTTCTTTCTCCTGTGTTTTTGGTGTCATATTGAACCTGCTGCTTATCCAAAGGTAATGAAGATTTGTTCCTGTGGTTTCTCTGCAGAGTTTTATAGCTTCAGGTTTGCTCTATTTTGAGTTGATTTTGTATATGGTATGGGGTTTTAACTTTATTACATGTGGATATCCTGTTTTCTCAGTATCATTTGTTAAGAAGTCTGTTCTTTCTCACCTTGACTTTTTTGGTGTCCTTTAAAAATAATAGTTTGTCATATTTGTTAGGGTTATTTTTTCTCTACTCTGAGTTGTATTTCATTGACTTACATGTCTGTCCCCTGCCTCCCCCTCTCACAGTCCAAAGGCTTTTATTAAGATAACTACAAAGAGGGCTGGGGATGGAGCTCAGTGGTAAAGTGTTTGCCTAGCATGTGTAAGGCCCTAGGTCCAGTTCCCAGCAGAACACACTGTATTAGTTACTTCTTTCTTTATTGCTGTGATAAACACCATAACCAAGGCAAATTATAGAAGGAGGAATAAGAGTCCATCTTGGTGGGGGAGACATGGCAGTAAGCAGAGCATAAGCTGAGCACTGGCATCCTTAAGCAGGCAAGGGAATTACAGAGAGAAACTGGACATGGGAAGTAGCTATGAACTCTCAAAGCACTGCCCCCCTGTGGCATGCTTCCTCCAGCAAGGCTACAAATTTTAGGGATTCCATGACCTTCTCAAAACAGTGCCACCAACTAGGGTCAAGTATTCAATGGTGACATTCTCATTTAACACCCCCCCCCCACACACACACACAGCGTGCATGCATGAAAGCCAGGGAATGTGGGATAACATGTCCTTATGTTGAAACAGCCACATCTGTCCTAATGCTAGTGCCTCACTACCCTGAATATCAAAGCTTTTTATTTTGGTCTTTTTTGAGACAGGGTCTCCCAGTAGCCCCAGCTGGCCTGGAATTCACTATGTAGACCAGACTGGCCTTGAACTCAACAGAGATCCGCCTGCCTCTGCCTCCAGAGTGCCACCATGCCCGGCAAATATCATAGCTTTCAGTGAACTTCGAAATCAGATTCTTTAGCTTTTTTCTTCTTAAGATTTCTTTATTGTATGTCCATAATTCAAAAGACAGTTATCTTTAATGTCTAGTTTGTTTTCTTTGAGTACACTAATCCACAAATAACTTAAGTGTCCAACAGAAATTTAGGTACAGAAAAGGAAAGTTACTAGATTAAACCAGTAACTGAATTCCCAGATAATTTATGTTTACTTAAGACCAATTCCACTTATTTACCTGAATATTCTTTCAGGTGTCTGCCATGTGTGGTCTCCATGTGCTAGATATTCAGTAAATCTCAGGGGAAAACATGATGCATAAGACACAGTGACTCCTTTTGACCTTAAATTGACTCCCTATTTACTCTCATGATTTTGAAGGGACTGTGGACTTTTGACTATACATACATCCATAGCCTTACTTCTGACTGTATCTTTGATGTGCCTACCATTAAGTGAAAAATGCATTCACCCCATGAGTCTTATCAGTGGAAAATCTTGCTTTCCTGCCAGTAGTAGTAAAAGGGCAAGTGGATGGCAGAAGAGGGTGAGCTGCTTTCAGTGGCTGTAGTGAGTACTTCAGAAATCGTAAGGGCACCATGAGTTCTCACTCACTCCTTTATGCACACATGGGTCTCCCCCTAAAGTTCCCCTGAAGGCTGAAAACATTATTTTGGTCACCTTCTTTCTCTCTTCTTTTTTTCTTCTTTCTCTAGTCATTTAACATTAATCTGAGTAGATCATGTAAGGCATAAGTGGGTCTCATAGAGTCTAAGTTAGTTACTTTGCCTTTGGGGCTCTTGACTTAATTATTCAATGTGAAGATGAGACACAGTAAATAAACATTTTTAAAAAGAAGACATTAAAATCATAAATAGTACAGAAAGAAAACTGCACAGAGAATCTAAGTACATATTGACATACAAGCATGGCAGGAGTCACTTCAGTCCTAAGATGATATAGAGTAGTAGGGCATCTTAAACACAGGAAGACTTGGATCTGGATTTAAAAGAACTGAGGGCAACAGGTTGATAGAAGGAATAAGACTTTCCAGATGAAGAAGCATTTCTTGACAAGATGGAGACACATGGAAATTTGTAGAACCACTGCTTTCAGTGAGGAAGGACTGGGACTGCTAGCATCTCACAAGGTGGAGTGAGGCATTATTGTGCCCCAAGTCTCAATAGTATACTGGGAAGAAGACAAGCTTTCTCCACACAGAGAAAAATAGTATTCATGAATAGTGTTCATTCCTGTATGTGGCACTGTAGAAGTTTATCTGGGAAGGGCCTAGATAGGTGGAGAATAGTGATGACATGTTTAGGGAGCTTGCCTAGAAAGTTTGCATGATTTTGATTCTTAATATTCTCTTGTCTCTTATAGTTTGATTTTTTTTCTTTTTTCTTTGTCTTAGAACGAGCCTCTGACCCCAGGTTATCATGGATTCCCAGCACGGGACAGCCAGGTTGGTGTCTACTGTTTATAACTGAGATGTTTGTATTCTGAAAGGATGCATTAAAAGATGACTGGAAGCATTTCCTAAAATTACTTATGTTGGAAGGTAATACAACTTGTTTCAGCAATGTATTGGTTTTTTTTTTTTTTTGGTCTTTTTGAGACAGGGTCTCCCTGTAGCCCCAGCTGTCCTGGAACTCACTATGTAGACCAGACTGGCCTTGAACTCACAGAGATCCACCTGCCTCTGCCTCCAGAGCACTGGGATTAAAGGTGTGTGCCACCATGCCCAGCAGCAATGTATTGTTTTTAGAGGTATGAATTAAATATATTTCATAATCCTAAATGTATTATAATTATGTTGTTAAAATTACAGGTAGTTTAGGAGAAAGAACCAGCACTGTAATGATTGCTTCGATAGTTTCCTTCTGTGGCTCTTTATTTTTTTTTTTTAACCTGGTTTTCTTGATACCTCCTAGTACTCAGCAATAGATTTGTCTTTTTTTCCTGTCATGTAGCTTCTGCTTGCATAGATATTTTTTAGTCTTTGCAATAATCTGCAGCAAGAAAATTCTGTTTTTCTTCCTGGGGTAGTTTTCAGCCTTATGGTTTTAATCAGGGAACACTTGCTTGAGAGGAAGCTGCCTTTCTTTGCTGAATGGGGAATGGGTAGAAAAAGCCCAACCTCTATTGTGCCCAGAGCAGAACTGCCTTCTACTGATAGCCTCAGTTCAATCAGTGTGTAAAATACCTTCAGTGTCTTTTGGTATGTGAAAGCTCCAGCAGGTGAGGCTGGATCAGAGTAAAGACAGAACAAGTGAGGTTGTTCCTTAAAGAAATGTCATGAATGAAATTCATCTCTTTCCTATTGGCAGGAAACTGACAATTCCAGAGGTTTGAAAAAGTAGTTTCTTGTTATCTTTGAATGCCTGCCTACCCATTCCATATAGGGTTATCAAAAATCCCTACCATGTTATGCTTGTCTAAGGATACACTGGGAATGTCAGTGCTACTTGAAAGGTTGACATAGTTAACCTTTCCAGAAGTTAATTGAATCTCATCAGAGTTTCTGAAGCTGGTCTTAAAAACTAGGCTAATCAGCAGTCTTCTATGTGGAGACCTTCCACATTTGAGAACATTTGCTCAGTTTCTGCATTTTTGGTGCTAGGTTGACATCAGAGTGCCCCAGTTAGGGTGGAGAGACAGAAGAGGAAGCCTTGTTTACCTCAGTGCTTATCTTTTAGTGGGATCCTCCCTGTTGAAGTGGAAGAAGGAAGTTTTTGATGTAAAGCTAGGGTTATTGATCCAAACCTAATGAGAATTTAGAAGTGGTATATGTGTGTGTTTTCTTAGTATGGATTTGCCTTGGATCTTCTCTAAGGTGTGACATTTGTGACTTTTGATAGTTCTTCATCCTGGCCATACATCAGAAAAAAAAAAAAAAAAAAAAAAAAAAAC